AGCCTTGTGAGGGAGTGGGGAGCCGAGGCTGCCCTGAGTCCCTGTGGACACTTGCACACACAGGCCCAAAAAATAATTTTAAGAAGAAATTAGTAGAGTGGGTTTAATGAACTTTTTGCATGCCCATCTTCAGTCTGATGTTAGAGATACCCAACTACTCTGAAAGGAATGTCTGACATGTATGAAAGCGTTATATTCAAAACATGACACAAATATTTACTTACCTTTGTTGGTATTAGAAATCAGCCTATTTATAATTTCCTTCCACTGTGGGCATCTACAAACATTTTCTATCTTAAAAAAGTTGAGAACCAGCAAATAACAGAAAAGTACAAGCGCTGAATTACAGATCTTGGAAGAAAATCAGCCAATTTATATATCATCTTGATTTTAGGGAGAGTTCATCCAAGGCACATGTACTTTTGTAAGAGACTGCGGGACATGGAATGCTAACAATCTTCATTGTCAGTGAACTTCCTAAACTTGTGTCTGAATGTCTCAGGCCTCACTTTCAGCTCATTTCCTCTTATTGAGCAGAGGCAGGACAGCTGGCCAGCATCTAGCATCTGCACTGTCCTCAGTCTTCCCTAACTGAGTTACGGACCACGCTTCTGAAATGGGAGAAGGCCAATTTGAAACAAAAGTAAAAACTCTCAAAAAAAAAAAAATCTTGTGGGAAATAACATTTTTAACTGAACTTTGAATGGGCCTATAGATTAGGTCAGGGGACGGGCCAAAACACTGAAGTGCTGTCCCTTGAACAATTCAGATTCATTCTTAGATAGTATTACAGGGTCATAAAACACCAGGCTTGGAAATTAAAGATGTTTATGTCTCATCAGAAAGTCTTTGACTGTAACTCTCTGGCATACTGCCAAAAGGGCAGCTCTTTGGGGGAAAACCCTATGCCAAAGGCCAAAGAGGCAGCTGTGTTATTCAGCTCCTGAGAGCTTCCAACTCAGCACCCACACAAGCTCAATTATGAGCAAATTAAAGGGATCCAGACTGAACATAGTAATTCTGGTAATTTAAATAAATAGAGGAAAGTCTACAATTAGTAGGAAAAGACTGATTTTCTGGAAAACCCAGAAAATGACACCCTAACCCCTTTGAATAAGCATAGTTACATCCAATTATTTAAAAATAAATTTCCTTTTATTCATCATTTTAATCATTCTGATCTGACTTAAAAGTGGCCACATGCATGCCAGCAAAAGTATTCCCCAAATAGAGGCAGAATAGCCTCAAAAAAAAAAAAAATCTATACTGGCTATATAGGACTTAATGACATTGAGTAGAATTGTAATCACAGTTTTATATCTACATTTTAGAGCACATAGATAATGTACAATTCATGTCTACCTTTTTTAGTGCAGAGAAAAACTGAAAGTAATTCAGAAAGAACAGAGATTGAATATTGGGGAATCTATTAATATAACTCACTATGTTAATAGAATAAAGAACAAAATACACATGGTCGTTCTGTATAGATCTTTAAAAATCACTTAATAAAATTAAACATCAGCTACGGATTAAACAAAATGAGCAAATGAACTTTTTAAGAAGCTAGGAATACGAGGAAATTTATTTAACTTGATAAAAACATTTCTTCTATCAGGAAGCATCAGCAAAGTCATAATTAATGGACACAGGCATGTAGTATGCACGTACACAGTGGAAGCATTCTTGTTTAACGTTTAAGTTCATTTTGATAAGCTGATCTAAATAAAGTTCATGTGGAAGAATAAATATATATGAGGAGCCAAACTGATTTTACCAAAGAAGAAAAATCAGAGGAAGTTTTTCCTAATAAGTTATCAGAATACAACGAAATAGCATGATAACATAAACAAGGTGACACTGGCATGGAATAAATATGTCAATAGAATATGTCTAGAAACTGACCCATGTATGCAAGGAAACTTAGTATTCAATGTTATTACATTCTGAATTAATGGGGACAGGATGTAACAGTCAATACATGTCATGAATAATTCACCTATTATCACAAATAAACATTTTTCTGCCTCATTCACTGTGGATAAATATATTACAGATTGGTAAACATTTTTAAAAAAGCCTTTAGGGCACCTGGGTGGCTCAGTCAGTTAAGCGTCTGGCTCTTGATTTCGTCTCAGGTCAAATGCTTCATGAGTTCAAGCCTCCCATAGGGCTCTGTGCTGACAGTATGGAGCCTGCTTGGGATTCTCTCACTCCCGCTCTCTCTCTGCCCCTCCCTGTTTGCTCACTCGCTCTCTCTCTCTCAAACTAAATAAATAAACTTAAAAAAAAAAAAGCCTTTAAAAGTACAAGAAGAAAACAATGTGGCAAGTATAAAGCCTAAAGGTCATGAAAATGGAAATTTTTTCTCTGAGACTAAAATGTTTTTTATTGTAAAGGATATCACAATCAAACTAAGAAGGCAAATAACAGACTGCAAGAAATTCTTTGCAACATACATAACAACTTTCTAAAGATAAAAAAAAATTAAGAAATGGAAATATTTTTGGCAAAGGATATACATAGGTATAATCATAGAATATAAAAGACAAAAGGACCCTCCAAAAAAAGCCCCAAACCAAAAAAACTCCCCAAACTCTCAATCCCAACTTCAGTCAAAAAGGGAAAAGTAAATTGTCAATTCAGATGCACTCATAAAACACAATACAACTATTATAAAGAAACACAACACACAACACACACACACACACATACATGGATGATGCAGCGAACAGAATGCTGCGTATACATAGCAAACTATTTTTAAATCATGTTTGTATCTGGAGATGAGGTGGCTTCTTTCTCATAAGAGTTGTCTGTCTTTTGAAACGTAAGTGAAGTAAATGGAACTCACTCACCTTTAAAATAACTTGAACATAATATGCAAGTTAAAATACTAGCTTAGACTCAACAGCAAAAATGAAATAAAAACAAAGAAGGTACTAATGGGGACTGTCAGCCTTCAAAGATTCCTGCAGACTTTGTCAAGGAGAACTAACCAACAAAAATTACAAGATAAATAAAAGGTTTTCTCTTTTTAATTTTGTACCATAAGAAATTGCCATTTTTCCAGGTCCAAAAGAGCCAAATAGCATTAATTGGAGATTCAGCCTTAAAACCTTAGGATTGATTGATTATGTATTTTTCACTTTGGAAGATTGGACCTCGATCCTGCTATCCTACAAGGAGAGCCAGCAACTTTTTTAGTAAATATATTAATTCCTTACTTTGGCCCAGTGCTATTTATAAAAAACTAAACAACATTCTTTTCACCTAATCAAACAGGAAAGACACTTCCAAATGTTTACCATTCTGATATCATCTGAGTTTATTCACTAAGAAAACCAACACATCTATTGAGCTCATTCAATTGTTCTGGGGAGAGGGCTCAGAAAGCCTCTAGAATGTTGACCCTTGGAGCCCTCTGCAAGAGTCTTAGCTTTAAATTGGCATTTACTGGAAGAGATCAAGCTTTGATGGTATATGAAATAGTTTTTTTTTTTTTTAACCATATTTTACTACTTCTGCTGTGTGGTGCATTTAAGCCAATGTTTTGGCACTTAGGTCCTGAAGTAAATAGCTCATGACCTCTGCCCAATTATGTAAACTGAACAAACAGTACTGCTATTTTCATTTATGGTATAATTACAGTAGAATGCAATGAGTGACCGCCATACATATTTTCGAAGGGCTATTTCAATTTAAAAAAGAAAACTTCTCAAAGTTTTCAGTAATAAAAAATATACGCAGAAATACCGTTTCTGGCTATGACATTCATTTTCCCCATGGAGAAATTAGAAAGATACAATAAAAATACTTATCAAGCATTTTATAAAAATCAAGTTTTCCTCAAATTATTAATAATAACCTTGGTCACTGTCACACATTATTCCTTTGGTTTGTCAAAGGTTCACCCTCAAGAAAATCCCCTATTCCGGCCAGTGCTCAGGATTTCTATCCCTCTCTCACTGTAGGTGGTTAGAACAAATGTATCCTAGTGACCTAGTTAATTTATAGAAAATGGAATCAATTTCCCTTGTTTCATCCTGACTGAACGTTTTTTCTGGACTTACCTGTGTAACAGATAAGCACTATTTATCAGATGGCTTGGTGGAGCACAAAGTTTTGATTATTTTATACTCTTATCGCTACTAATGAAATATGCAATATGCCTCAAAAAAATTTGCAAAGCATGGCCTGCGAGCACCCAGCAGCAATGAATATTTCCTGAGGATTTATTTTGCACGGACACCCTTCTCTCAGAATCGTTTCTCTCCAAGTGCCTATGAGGGCACAGCAATGTTCTTGGGTGTCTGAGCTGTCTTCCGGGTTCCCACATCCTAGGACCTGGAGAACACAATTTGCAGGGGCCCTTGCTCTGCCCTAGCACCCAAAAGTCACCCAGAAATTCCCTGCAGAGCTCGGAAACTCAATGAGGTTGTGCAGGCATGGACCCAAGGTACCCTGACACCCTCGATCTGGCAAACCCAGAGACCCTTTTTTCCCTTCAGTGTTAACAGTGTCTGGAGATGGGCATTTAAAGAGATAAGGCTTCCTCATTGCTGCTATCCCTAGCCACTGTACATGGAGATGGGCAACCCTTTAGAGGATTCATTTAACCACACTATCTTCCCAGACCCTGCAACAGGTGCATACGTGAGAAATGCAAAGGCTCTGGCGGAAGTGAGAGTACAAATACAGAGGCAGGTGACTTACTGGTGCCTATGGTATTCTGACCATCTGGAAGGAATAATCCTATTGTTCTGACCTCTATGAACCACTTTATAAAAAATATCATTTCTCTCTCTCTTTTAAAAAGGGGTAATTACAATTAGATGGTGAGAGGAGACAGGGAGATGGGATGACCACTAGCCCCTCCTCCAGGCTTCAGCAGACTTTGCCCCCTAAGGTTGGAGCTGAAGAAACAAAGGGAGGACATTCGGGAAGACAGATGGGCTGAGGCTGGAGTGCTGACCTGCATGTCACTGGCCCTCACTTACCAAGGTCCATGCTCTTTGAGGCTTTCAGATTCATTGATTCAGGCTGCCTGGCCGGTGTCACGGATCTGAAGTGGGTGTGCTGATCTGGAAAATACACTGCCGAATCCACCCCAGAGCTATGGAAAGAAGCCACATGCCATATTTAGATTTAGAGTAAAAAAAAAAAAAATTTTTTTTCTCCTTTGGTAAAGGAAGCAGTTGTCATTTTGAACACAGCCCCTCCTCATTCCCCCTATAGTTCCCAACCATGTATTTGCAACGAATTCTTGAATCTCAGGTTGCTTTCATGAGATGTAGCAACTCTATTTTTTTAAGTATTTTATCACACTCCACAATTTAAATAAAATATTCTCTGGCTAATATCATGTTTTCCTCTTCACTGATTTCTGCTAATTGGGATCCTGCTGTACAATATAGAACTTTCAGTGGGAAAGGCGAGCCTGGAATGAACTGGCGCTTCAAAGGAGGTCACTGGATATTAGCAGAGCCTGAGAGCAGGTTAAGAGATTTCCGTGGGCTAAGCATGCCCTTCCTTTAAAAACAAGTGAAAGGGTTGTATCCTTTAGAGAAAACCATCCTGCTGAAAGACTGATGGCCGCAGTAGTTTGGTTTTCTACTTTATTTAGGTCTATTTCCTAAAACTAATGTTAATACTGAGCAAATAGTCTGCTCATCGATAATATAAAAAGGAAATAACAGGAAAAGCACGCTTGACGATTTAGACACAAGATACATTAAATGCCCATTATAGGCTTCCTAGTACTTGTAGTCCGTCTCAAATAACTCTATTTCTGCTAAATATTTTATTTATTTTTGCTTGAGGTTGAAAGGGATTATATAAGGGAATTGCAGACAATGCCTTATTTCGTGGTTAGAAAAGAAATCATATTTATAAATTTTATAAATTAAATTATAGCTGCTTTCTCCCTTGGTATTATCATATATTTAGAAAGTTAATATGGTGGCTCATTTCAACATAGCTTTATTCTAATTTTAAACACAGTGAAACCCAAATCAAGTATCTGATAAATCTGAAAGTACGGAGTGAGGTTGAGGGATTTGACACTTTATGTGAACAAACAGTTGGGATTTGACACTTTATGTGAACAATAAAACAACAACAAAAAATGAACTGTTAGGTATGAGAATCCTAAAATGTACAGGGGACCTCAATTTCTTAACCAAATATTCCAAAATGAGTTTAATCTTTTCCTGAAACTCATTAGTTATGCACATTCAATATTGCCTTGCAGGAATATTAAAATTAAAATGCAGCCATAATAATATTGCTGAGTTAATGGGTGAACCTCCATTATTGTAATACAGTGGGTGGCTTAAGGAAGCACCTATGACAGGCGCAGAGCACAGAGCTCAAGACCACAGATGCCAGAGCTGGTCTGCTTAGTTCCAAATCCTGGCTCTGCTCCTGATGAGTTGTGGGACCCGGCCACATAATGGGACCTCTCTGTGCTTCAATTTCCTTATGTATAAAACGGGTATAATTACACTCCCTGCCTCATGCGTTTACTAAGAGATACAATGAGTTTGGAAAGAAATTTGTAAAGTAAGGAGAAGAGATTCTGGCACAGAGTAAGTGGCAAAGAAGCATTTAGGAAACAAATAACCAGGTAAGCAAATAGACCACTCTTGCTGCCCAAATGACTGTAAATTTTTGCTTTTCGGGTTACCTATAGGATTTTTCCAGTTTCTTTCTTTCTCTGCTTTTGTTAAAGTCAGTTTTCGTTCTATGTATACATGGTTTCATGAAAATGTCTCAAGAAATTCAAATCTATATAATTATATAATCTTTATAATTACAAAGCTTTTGGTTTGTCTTTGGCTTCTTTCTTGGTGTGGCTATATTTTCAATATCACTGACATATATAAAGTACATCTGATGTGGTAGGGAGTGACGACAAAGTATGCCAGTGGTGGGCAGAAATCCTTGAACCACCCATGCTGCTGACAATGGCCTGGCGTAACAGCAACACTCCAATTGCTTCAGCCCATTTTAAAGAAGAATTCTGAGAGGCTACTATGAACATGAGCTTCCCCCTGAGCCTCGATGTTCTGGAAGCACTTGCCTTTAAATGTGTTTATTCGACCTTTATTTGCACTTAGTTTTTCATCCTTTGATGTCTTGTGATGATGTGGTTTTAGTGTCAGAAAGACTCATGGCCTTCACAGAATCTGAGAATTTAAGGGCCGGAAGGCATTAAAGGTCACCTCATCTAATTCTTGTAGATAAGACACCGAGGCCCAAAGAGGAGGCTGATGTTCCAAGGTCACACAGCTGGCCAGTGCCAAAGTGAGGACCAGAACTGTTTGTTCTTAATAGTGCTTTTCTTGGAGCCACGGAAGCTTTGGCTAAAATGGTGGCTAACCCGGGGCCCAAGTGCAAATGATGCTGACACTATGGAAATCAAAACTTTCCCTTTTTGTGCAGATTCACTCACTCTCTTATGCTGCTTGCATTTTAGGCCAGCTCTTTGTTTCAGTAGGGTGATACATACCATCAAATACAAGGAGATCAAAGCGTTAACCCAAACAGATGCCCTCAGTTACAATGAAAGGCATTAGGGAGGTGGTTTAGGACCAACATGAATATTCCTCATTAAAACTTGGGTCACACTGCATTTAAAGTGCTCTGCTCCAGGGAGACAAGGGGAACGTACCCAGCTGAGTAACACACTGGTTAACCTGTTTTATTGTCTTACTTTACACCAAACTAAGTATTAATTGACATATTAAACGTAAGAATTCAGATTTTTTGAGGCTCTCGGGAAGCAATTATCCCCATCCCCGTTTTAATTTTTTTTTTTCAACGTTTTTTATTTATTTTTGGGACAGAGAGAGACAGAGCATGAATGGGGGAGGGGCAGAGAGAGAGGGAGACACAGAATCGGAAGCAGGCTCCAGGCCCTGAGCCATCAGCCCAGAGCCTGACGCGGGGCTCGAACTCACGGACCGCGAGATCGTGACCTGGCTGAAGTCGGACGCTTAACCGACTGCGCCACCCAGGCGCCCCCCCATCCCCGTTTTAAACAGCGAGGTGGAATGCCACTTGCTAAGCAACATCAGGTAAGGATCTGTCTAAAGTGAATTTTTTGGTACAAATGTTTAGATATAATGCAGGCTGATCAAAGAAACAAAGAGCTGCTTTCTACAAATGAATGTAACAAATGTTCACATGTGTATGTCCGCACACTATCTATACCTGAATCAATCCGTTAAATTGATCATAGTGATTCATACATCTGTTGCCATTGCTTTGAATGGGACCAAGTGCACAGTTTGGAACCTTCTATAGAAGGGCCCATTTTGCCATGATGCCAAAGAAGAAATAAGGCAAAATAAGGCTGATCTTTAAGGAGGGAACTAAGTGTAATAGGAGAAATTGCAAGAGTAGAGTCAAAGTGAGCATACGGTACAAACAATGAAGTGTAGTACTGAATCAATGCGAAAATATTTTAGAGACGTAAGTGAGACCAGTGAAACCATTTGTAATTTTATACTACATATTGAAAGTTTTTGGAGGGAAGGGGTGACACAGCGGTTAACTCTAAAATATGACATGTTTTAATTTTGAAGAAAGGTAGCATGTGCTCATGGCTGAGTGGCTGTAGTGGGAAGCTGCAAGTTGACAGGCCAAAGCCATGTTTTAAATACAGGCCGTGTTTTCAGCATCAACAACCAGGGACTCTATCAAATAGAAATGATGCTCAATGTCAAATTATGCTGCATAATGAATAAATAAAGGTAGCGTGAAACATATGCTAGTGTCCTGAATATGGTGACAAATCGGGAACGTAAAAGACATATAAGACCCAGCCATGAATGTTCAAGGAGAACTGTCAGAAATAAAAAGGAAGGGGAAGAAGACTTTGAGAGGTATGGCAAAAAAAAAAAATTCTGAAGTCTCAGGTGTCCATGAATAGGGCTTCAACAACTGGCTACTATGCATAAGAGTAGATGAAGGAAGGAAGGAAGGAAGGAAGGAAGGAAGGAAGGAGGGAGGGGAGAGGCAGAGACAGAGAACCCAGAGAGTATGCAGACAGAAAAAATATAAACATGTAGGGAATAACCAAATGTTGTTTGGAACTGTTAATAAAATTGAATATATTCTGTTATTAATTTGCCTTACAACCACCCTGAAATATCACAGCAGAAAATATACTTCCTTTACGTTTATTTTTTATTTAGACACACGTATTCTCAAGTTTTGTCCAATAATTGATGACATAATACTACAAGTTCAGGAAACTCCTGATGTCTTTTTGGTTCAAGACGCAGGCGTTAAGTTGGATCACATTTGTGTCTCACTTCTCATGCAAGAGTCGTTTTCTGTTTCACAAGACTGGCTGCATCCCTAAAGCACCACTTTTCCCTTTTAGAGGGCTTTTAACTTTTTTTTTGAAAGCCAGGGCAGCCTCCCTTGCTCAACCCTCCTGGCTCCCTTCCAACCCTTCCTCCATCCCGAGTTCCACACATCCCAAACCCCCTGCTGCTACCGGTCACCTAGGCAACAGGGCAGCTTGCAGGATGGTGCAGGTCACGAGATCCCGGGGGAAGAGTTTCAAAGCTTTACCTTTGTTCCTTCCACCTCAAAAATGTCTTTGGCTCTGCCCCTTTCTCTCCAGCCATGCTGCTCCTCTCTTCATTCAAGCCCTCTCTTCTTTTGCCAGTCCCCAGACTATCCTCTTTTATGGCTTTCCCCATCCACAACTGAACTCACTCAACTTGATATTGTCACCGCCCCTCCCCCGCCAACAGAAGAAATCTGTGGAGACACTGAAGCAGCCAAAAAGGGAGTTGTCAATTCCCAATCATTCCATCTCTGCAATATCTCTGAGGCCCTCTCTCACCTGAAGAGGTTTCTCATCCGAAAGCTTCTCCCTCCCCTCCCCAGCACTGTTCCTTAGTACCTTTCACGGCTACTGCCCTCGAAAACCTGCAAAGAGTCTCTGGCTTCCAATGGATATTAACCTTTCTCCATTTACCTAATACGTGTACACAACTAAGACCCAGGTCTTACCATGCTGTCTGCTGAAACCTTGCAACAAGGTTTTACTATCTGACGAACGTATCTGCATTCCTTACCCTTGCACTCTGGGCTCCATCATCTGGCCAGTCAGCCAGGATACAAGATGCACAAACCAATTTACTTTCCCAGTTTCCATGCTGTTCCTTTTACCCTTTCCTCTCTCCGAAAGTCACCTCCTTCCTGGGCTTTTCTCCTGTGCGCCTCCAATTCATACTTTAAGGTTAGGCTGAAATGCCATTTTTCCCATAACATTTTCCCCTGATTCCTGTCTTCTGCCTTGGATGTCCAGAGCATTTTATACCTTCTGGCAAATATCACTTTGTACCTTGTGCACTAGTTGTCATTTTTACCTACTGGCCTACCATCTTCTTGAGGGTAGGTTTTATATCTGATTCATCTTTGCTTTATCCCAACAGTTTTTCACATACACGCAGGATAAACAGTAAAGGAGAATGAAAGAAATTATGTTTTTAATGTATTTTCTAATGACAGAAAACTGTCACTTTTGATTCAGGATTGAGGCAGGCAATGGAAATGAACGAACACAATTAAACATGTCCAGATTTTCTTCCAAGAAACCCCTGGAAAACTGATCTAGAACATTACTAGTTGGTGAAATTGTATTTGAGTAAGATAGCTGACTTCAAAAACATAGGAATCAGAGATAGCTAAATATAGGTAAGCTTCCAGCTAATAGAGTTAGCTATACTCTTTTTGTGTTGCTTTATTTTTAGCAGATCGTAATAAAAAGCATAATAGGAATGACACCAGCATTGCTGCAAGAAAAATGAAAAAATTTCACAGGATTATCAAGGGACATAGAATGGAATAAAATACACAATTTTTAACAGCCATAATAAATACAGAAAATAGCAAAGGGACAAGTTAATGATTTTTAAAACTCATCAGAAGAACAAAATCTATGAATTCCACTAGTCAGATGGTGTGTATACTTACTAAATCTCTCTCTCTCATGCTTGTGAGATCCTAAAAATTATTGATTTTTTGGTTTCTATTACAGAGTGGATATAATATTGGGTACTCTTTTCAATATTTTAGATTATATATGGTGTTGCTTTAATTTTTAGATTCCATTAACTTTCTTGGAACATTTATTTTTAAAATACCTTTAGGGTTCACCAATTACAAGTGAAGAAAAAAATAAAAACTAAGCTTTATGTCCTCTCAGTTTTTGTTTTATACCTTCCCATATAACCTTTTGAACTCTCTGGTTTTTCAACATGATAAAAGAAAGTTCTACATTCCCTTAAATATTTTATAATATATGACGAATTTTAAATTCCAGGAAGCAACATATGAATACTCTAAGCTATTAATTTCAGCTATGAGAAGCTTTCACTGAAAAGGAATTACAGATGCTATGAGATTTCCATTCTGGAAAGAAATAGAGTTAAAATAGGGTGGCTGGGTTTTCGCAGAAACACCGTAACGAGGAACATTTACGATATATCATTTTATCAATACCTGTGGCTGTAATCTTCAGTGCCCAATTCCAGAACGGGATGTGGTGGTGGAGAAGGTGGTACTTCAGCCTCGGCCCATCCGTCACTGGGAAGCAATAGCTCTAAAAAACAATGAACCAATGAAGCTGTAAGCTCGAGGCAGAACTGTTCAGTGCCTGGTTTTGTTTCAGTCCACCTCACAGATGCAATTTTCGCCAACACATAAACCAACGTTGAAATAAATAAGTCCTCCTACAGAAGTGAAGGATTTGTACGAGAGCTCATGCAGCCTGTGTGAGGAAATCTAAGCCTGCTAATGGGTGTTCACGCTGGTGACCTGCTGGCAACCCATGGCAAGTCAAGACCGTGCATCTTGAATATCTTTTCCCGCCTAGAAATGGCTGACAGTCGCTCATGACTGGTGTTCTGTGGAAGATTAACAAAGCCATCTCTTTCGTGCCTTAATGGTTTTGTAAACAAGACTCTCTAGTGAATACTCTGGATCATATGGAGATTTAGTTATTGGCCTTAGTGACAAAAAGTACTTAAAAAAGACACGAGATACTGTACATCTACTCGCCTTTTAGAGACGGTAGAGGGGAAAAAATACTATTTTTGCATCTGTGCCACAATGGAAATACATGGGTTTGAGGCCTTGGAGGCAAAAGACTAGGGTCAGACCTGGTTTTCTCTCCTACTTAAGATGTATACTTTTCTAATCTATTCTACTCTAGAAAAATTAGACCTGTATCCTGAATACGACTACAACTAATAACAAGCAAGTTTGTTGGGACCCTACTGTATACTAGACATCATGCTAAGTATTATGTTCATTATGTCATTTAATACTCGTCATTATTACCAACATCAACTCATGTGTGAAAAGCATGATAGAGTGTCCTGGGCAAGCAAAAAAAATCTATGCAGCAAGGCCACCATATTTCCGGTCATGGCTCCCACAACTGCATGAACTTGGCCCAACCACTCAACTTCTCTGAGCCCCAGTTTTTTAAATCTATAAAGTGGGGATGAGAATAGCTTCATTAGAGGAGTATAAGGATTGTATAAGACGGTGCATATTGAAATAGATTTATAAATGCAAAGTGCTAATAAGCAACAAAAAGATTATTATTCTATACATTCTAAACTCTACTGCATATCTATTACAATGAGATTTAGTAAAAGGCGGAACCCTGTTGGTCCTTGATTGCTGGAACCCTGCTTGATCGCAGAGTATCCCTACGAAAGACTGCTGGTAACAGAACCTGCCTGACTTGCCCACATGCCAGATGTGATGGTTACTTTCGTATGTTAACCTGACTGGCGACTGACTGGGTCCAGGGTACCCAGATATCTAATCATACATTATTCTGGGTATTTCTGGGAGGTTGTTTTGGGGGTGAGATTAACATTTAAATCAGCAGGCAGAGTAAAGTAGAGGGTCCCCCCCTAATGTGGGTGAAACTCATCTAATCAGCTGAGGTCTGGATAGAACCAAAATGCTAACTGTCCTCCTCTGAGGAGAGAATTCTTCCTGCCTGACTCTTTTCAAACTGAGACACTGGCATTTTCTTGCCCTTGGACCCAAAACCAATCACTGACTCTTTCTGGGTCTTGAGTCTGCTGGCTTTTAGATCGTGACTATGCTGTTGTCTCTCTTTGGTCTCTAGATTGCCCATTCACCTTACAAATGTTGGGGCTTGCCTGGCTCCATAATCATGAGCCAATCCTTTGTAATCAATCTCATTATATTAGTTATTATATATTACTATGTATATTATATATGTTACATGTATCACTGCATACCATTATATGTTATATATGTTTTACATTGTGTTATATGTTATTGTATTATATATCTGTATACATGCATATACATCTCATTGGTTCTGTTTCTAAGGAAAACCTGCTCCAAACTCTGCCCCAGGGACTAGTATAAAATGGAGGTAATTCTAGCAGTGCTGGCATGTGCCTGGGTAGGAGGTTTAAAGCAGGAGATCTTACAGGCAGGGTGACCAAGGTATAGAAGCATGGTGAGCAAAGGCAGCCATCACTGTCCCCCTGTACTGCTCTCCACCCAAGTGATCTAGTGATTTGGTAATATGGCAGGAGTCAGGCAGCCAGAGGCTTGCTGACAGGAGCAGAAGAAATACACTGTAAATTGGGGACAAGGGACACATTGGGACATTTTCCACAGGCTGTAATCTCTCTACCCTCAACCTCCCACCCCGTCTTTCACACTGGTGATAAATATTGCTGTGATCATGTAACTTGCCCTCTCAGAAACCTCTCAGTTGCACACAGTAGCCTAGAGAAGGTCTGTGCCCTTTGTGGGCAACTTCATTTCCTATTACACATTAGCCACCCAAGACTACTTACTGTTCCCCAACCACAACCTGGGCTTTCCTGCCTCAGTGTGTTTGCTTACAAAATTGAAAATCCACTCCCATCCATCAAAATCCTGCCCTTCTCTCAAGGTCCACCTCAAATATCATCACCTCTATGAAACTTTTACTATTTCTCTGGGATCTGTCAATACTTTTAGAATAATGACAGAGAATACTTGTGCTCACTGTATCTGTGTGCACATGCAGACCTCATTTCTTTCTTCCTGCACATGCAGACCTCATTTTCCAGCTTCTTTGTACCTAGACTAGGTCTTTCCAATAGAATGAGAATTGTTCTGGTCATTGTCATCCCCAGTCTCAATGGGTAAGAAGGTGCACTCTCTCCACCTTTCCTGTCTACCAACTGCAAGAAGGAGTGGCTGAGGCTCTAGAAAATGGCCCAGCTGCCAATGGAACGAGCCCAGGACCCTCAGTCACTGCACAGAGCACGGCCTCCATCTTTCTGCCTCACTGGGCTGTGATAAGACAAGAAAAATACTTCCACTGCCTTCATTCACTGACATTGGGTTTTATCTATTATTATTATGGAAATAATTCCACTTATAACATTTATCATATGCTGATTTTGCAATGAGTTATCGCTGTATCACCTATGTATCTATTTCTCTGACTGGAGAAACTTCCTTGTCCTCTTTCTCCTCTCCTTCATCTTCTTCAGCATTTTCTCTGGCTTCTTCAAGTTTTATTACAACCATTACCTTTAATTTTTGTTTTATCCACGTGAACAATCTATGTTTTTTAAAGTAGCTGTAGGTAGAGAGGTAAATACCCTCTTTGTTGACCCTTTATCCTTGGTACATTTTTAAACATATTCAGATGCCATAAGGAATTTTTTTCCTCTTGGCCCAAACACCTCTATTAACCCTATATCAATGTGAAAGTCTGGTATTATTTTCTCCAAAAAAAAAAAAAAGAAAAGAAAAATTCTCGATTTCATCACACGTACAAGGTTAAGTCTTGACGGTCACCCTATTTTTACGCCGGTGAATGTCGCCAGTGCACCCTCTAGTCACCACTTCATTCATGACCCAAGGGCCCTGATTTTAATCATTTTTTATGACTGTTACTTGTTTTACGGAATCAAAAAAGAAGAGTAAAAGAGATTACAACTTTAGACAAGGGCTCAGCAAGCTGTGGCTCTGGTCCAAAACAAGCCCGCCATCTGGTTTTATACATAAAGTTTCATTGAACAGTCATGCTCATTCATTTACGTACTGTCCATGGCTGCCTTTGCACTACAGTGGCAGAGCTGAAGAGGTGAAACAGAGATCTCTAGGCCTGCAAAGCCTAACGTATTTATTATCTGGTCCTTTAAAGTTTGATGATCCTTGCTTTAGATTTCTTTATAATTAAAAAAATTTAAAGCCTATTCTTGAGGGCTGTAACAGCATTGTATTCATCTTTGCATCTCTGAGAGTCTATTCTGCAAAATGGAGGTATCCGATAAACATCAGGCAAATTGAAAAGTATAATTCAATTTCTTTCAACGTTTTTATTTATTTTTGGGACAGAGAGAGACAGAGCATGAACCGGGGAGGGGCAGAGAGAGAGGGAGACACAGAATCGGAAACAGGCTCCAGGCTCCGAGCCATCAGCCCAGAGCCTGACGCGGGGCTCGAACTCACGGACCGCGAGATCGTGACCTGGCTGAAGTCGGACGCTTAACCGACTGCGCCACCCAGGCGCCCCTAATTCAATTTCTAATCATGACTCCAAAGGTAGTGGCTTATGTACTATAGAGGGGTGGACATATGCTAGTTCCCCAGAGAGGGCACATTAGGAATAATTATACATTATGTGTCTCCTCAAAGGACTTCAGGTAACATGGGCCCAGTGAGAGAGGATACAGAACCAAAGGGCTTGGTTTGGGGTGGGGATGGCATATCTATGGGAGCCTCCATTGGGTCTAGGGCAGACTTGGGGCAATGGGTGACTCACACATGGGACTGGAGTACACTTGAGCTGAAAGGTGAGGGGAGGCAGGAGTAGAGCACAACAGGGGAAACCAGAGCAATGGAAAGAGAGATAATAGCAAACCAGAGGCAAATGGTGCTTATTACTATTACTTGACTACGACTTGGCCAGGGTGAGATCTTCCGGCAAAATGCTTCAGAAAATACAGTGTTGGTAGTTCATGTTCCTTACTATCATTCAAATGCTTAATAGGATTTTGCAGTAGACCCGAGGGACACAGCCCCCATCCTGATTCCCATCTTGGAGGACCACACTTATTCTAGTGCAGCCATTGCTAGCAATTCTCAAACACAAATGTGAATTTTCCGATGTTACGATTTCCACAAATGTTAGTTCTAAAAATGCCTTTTCCATGTAACAGCTTGACAGGAATATGTATATATATAAAAAAATAACCGTGGAACTGTGGGTGGTATGTACTATTATTACAAAAATAGATGGAACACACATATCAACATTGGATTTTTAAATATACAAAGGAAAGGAAAAAGGGAAGAAAAAAGTTAATGTTTTGGCTGTAACAGTTCCTTTCCTCACTAGACATTACACTTTGTCAACTCAATCTTGTTTTTCTAAAGCGGCTCCTTAAAACACTTGGTAGGGTTGAGTCAACATTCACTCAGGTTTCATGAGCCTTCGTGGCCTACTGCTACTTCACATGCATCTGAAATTCAGAAACTCTCGATGGCTCTCAAAATTTTAATTTTTTTCATATTACAAAGAGATGATGATTATGATATTATTCTATAGCATCATGTTTATAAATTCTAATATATCGATATATCTATATATAGATATATAGATATAATTGATATATATATATCAATAGGCTTATATATGTATAGATATATAGATATAGGCTTATATAATAT